CAATTTATGTTTACAGAATAATGCATTTCACATCCATATGCAGAGTGAACGTCAGCAATGTTTTATTAGATTTTAGGGAAGGGAACGTTTTTGCTCTTTGGCTTTATTATTGTATAAAATGTCACCAAAATGTTAAATTCTACATCAGAAAAATATGTTTTGGTGGTCAAATTGTTTATCGTCTACTGGGTTCCTCAGGTTTCCACATTTAAATATCATCATTGATTTTCTTTGTATGTTATCCCATTTCCAACCACACAAACTGGAACAAAATTTAAACACGCATCTTGTTCATTTTAATTCAAGAATGCGATAATGGAACATATGGCCAGGACTGTCAGTACAACTGTTCAGCGAGATTCTGTCAATCAAGCGATTTGTGTAGTAATTTGGATGGAGCTTGTGTCTGTTTAGATACATATCAGGGAATAGATTGTACTGTTGAAAAAGGGGCTGTAAGTTCGGGAAAAGGTGTTCCAGGTAAGAGAGCTAGAAAGAGAAATTCAAAAGATGTTTAATGGTCTAGACTATGAAACCTATCCATATATTATTCTAGCCAAACGTTATGTCTAACAGTGATGTCATAATCTGCACAAGTTTTCTTTCTGGAATAACCGAAACCATGCAATATGGTGCAAATAAAAGCTGTAAATATTTCTGAAGAGATGCGATAGTCTATCCAAAATCTATTGAATAAAGACATACTAAAAAGGCTGCAGCCAATGGATCACGGATCCAATACTTGGTTTGTCTAAAAGATGGGATCAAGATCTATGTTAGAACATCTGATGCAAGAGAACAACGACCTCAAATGTACCTATGTTTTGAAGTTTAACTTGTATTTCAGAAAATCCTGAAGATTCAGTCACAATCATAATAGCAGCCGTTGTTTCTGTTTGTGTTCTACTCATCATTATTGTTGTTTGTGTTGTACTGATTATCCGGTAAGATTTTCTAACAGATGCATAAGCTGGGTTCTGAACGTCTAAATTTATAACTCATATTCGTAAATGTGGTATCTTTAAATGTCGTTGCGATGTGGTACTGCATATCCTGAGAAGCATTTTCTCAATTTGTTTTTAAAGGCTTGTATTTCTACGCCAAGCAAAGCAGCGAGGAAAGTTCAAATGTAAGATTGGTACTTTAGTGAAGACAAAATCAAAAATTTTTTTATGAAAACAAAACAAATATTGCAAATTCTATTATACCACTGTCGCATAAATTTGTCAACTGTTCGAATTGCGGTGAATATTTTAAGTTTGCAAAAGCTAACAAGAAATACATATCTCAAAGCTACTTTGACTACTTACAGGAGAAGACGTGCACCACCTCCTGTTGACGACGAAACATCTGACAAGTCTGTTACAAGAAACATGGCTGTTGTAAAACAACAAGCACAAGGTACTGTACTAATCTTTGAAAATTAATTTATAGTAACGTTATCAGAATTAATATTTGTTTTTTCATGTGACTCAAAATCATTTGAGAACCTAGCCAAGTAGAACCTGTAGCCATATAATAAATTGGACTTGTTGCTGATTACGTCGTTTATCAGAGACGCACATTTTGTTCCATTTGGCAGGCTAAATACATGTTTCAGGTCCAATATATGAAAACTCCGATGTAATAAGAGAAGGTTCTGTAGCACGAGTAACAGTCGAACCAGAGCGGAATGTTTACCAGAATGAACAACCTGAAGCTGAAGCCGAACTGGAGAATGAAGCTGAGCCTTCAACCGAGACGGAAGAAGATGATATCAGTCCCTACATTTTGCCTGATAAATCCGATTATAATCTGGCAGAATTGGAAGAGTTTGTGAAAAAGACTAAGCCGAACGATGGATTTGATCCGTTTTATAAGGTACTGATGATCCATCTCATTTTAGTAGCCTAACATATTTGCATAGATTTGTTCTCCTGGAATATAATTATGATGATTGATTTTTTAAAAAGGGATACTTAAGTTTATATGAATCCATTGGACGGTTGTTCTTGAGCATATGAGAATGGATCAACTTTCAAGCTACATTTCGTTTAAATTCAAAATTTGTCACAAAATAATTTACGGTTTGATGTCTATATTGATCCTATATCCGTTTTGTCAGAAAAAGAAATAAGCAATTAACACGATTTTGCCAGGTCAAAATTTAGTTTGTCATTAAAAAGTTATACGGTCGATACTTCAATATTAATAACATTTTAAGCACCCACATGAAATTTGGGGCGCATATTGTCGTTGTGAACACTCTAGAATTCTTGATGGATTTTGACGCAACTTGGTGTATGTGTTAAAGCGTTTAAAATATAAAAAAAATGGAAAAGATCTCATATGAGTTATTGTCCATGTTCTTGATAACGCATTTAATTTTTTTTTGGTCGCAAACACATTAAAAGGCACCATTCTTCAAGATTTTGACGAAAGTTGGTGAAATGTACTTAGTGATAAACTCTAAAGAAAATCGACAAATAAATATATATATACGAGCTATTGCCCTTGTTCTTGTTTAATTTTTAGCTCGTAAAATGTCTAGAAGGCAGATTTTGTTCCATGTTCAATACTACACAAGAAAGTTCAAAAGAAACCTATGACTAAAGCCAAAGCCAGTGGGCGTTTATTACCTTGCCTGGCAACCTATCTTTCAAATGTACTAATCTTATTTAGTTACGGATTATGATGATTGACCTACTTTTACATTAAAAAAAAATCAAATACAAGTTATTTCCCTTGAGGTGGAAATGTTTTGAAAAAATCAAGTCATGAAGAAACAGTATAAAAAATAAACTATTAAATATTTTTATTATACAATTCAAAATCATTTTATCTTTTACAACAAAGATTATTTTATTTTTTAGGGATTGCCAAATACCTTCACTTCTAGTTATGATATCTCACAATTACCAGAAAACCGCAAAAAGAACAGATTCAAAGGGTATTATCCATGTATGTTTTTGTTTAATGGTCGATTCTCGTAACCTTTGGCTGTTACACATTTTCTATTTACATACAAAATTTATATCAGACAATTGTGTTACCGAGATTTTTATGTTTTATTTGTGGTCATAATTTCAGAATATGACGAAAATGACTATTTAGCTATCTTCATCATGTGTAAATAAAGGTTGAAACATTCTAAAAAATCATAGTACTTTTATAAATCATTGCAGGGCATATCGTATTTTTGCTTTTCGTATAGTGTGTTCCCGGCTATGTTATAGCTATATTTCGGCTTTGACCGTGTTGAAGAAGTTTTTCTATATTTTGCAGATGATGCTACAAGGGTAGTACTGAATAAAGTAGACGATGATCCACGTTCAGATTATATAAACGCCAACTTTTTAAACGTACGTTCTATTATAATGACCATTTTGGAAATTGGATTGTGCATTGGATCTGTTTGAAGAAAAACTTTGAATATAAATCTAAATGGTTTTCATTTACGGTTTGGCTCAGTATTGTCTATTACAATTTATATATGTATTAACATTAACTCTAGAGACAAAGTCCAACGGTTATAGATTTAAAATATTATTTTTGTCTTTCAATACAGGGTTATGATGGAAAAACATTTATTGCTGCTCAAGGTAACAATCTACTTTTTCTCAAATCATGTTGCAATAGTTTGCGTTTGTACATGATACTTGGTTGATAAAATAAATCAGGCCGTGATATTGTTATTATATCCATTTTGATACGATACAATTTGTAGTAGATACTTGTAAAGAGTGGAAATGGGCTTGTTACGTGGGCACTTGTTATTAATTAACATAATTCGGTATTCTACACAGGCGCAACACGAGTAAATCTGAATGATTTCGTAAGAATGATCTGGGATATGAAATGTGATAAGGTTGTCATGGTTACCAGAGAATTTGAAGATCGAAAGGTAGTATATTTTAGTACTTGGAGTCATTTACAAAAAATGCGTTACAGGTTGGTCATCTTTTGAAACATGTCTGGTATTTGTTTTGTTGAAGTCATTTCATTGACTGAAGACCAGACCACGAGAAAAAATACATTACCGATCCAAATCGCAATCCGTAATAAATTTCCACAAGCTGCCAAAGACAGTGATAATTCTTAAATTAATCAAGGTGGTAACAGACAAAGCAAGATGTCAACAGAAGGAATAAATACCCCCACCAAAGTGCGTAACACATACTATGATAGTTTTCTTAATCATTCATGTAAATAAATACACCATGCACCGCAAAACGAAATCCAAACACCCACCCCCCATTGAAACCTATATGTATTATATGACACTTTTCAGAGAAAATGTGAACGGTACTGGCCATCGCAAGTAGGATCCTCGGAGACGTTTGGTGTAATCAAGCTTACATTAATAGAGGAGATTTACAGAGAGAATTATACTAAACGAGATATTATAATGGAAAGGGTAGGTACAGTACCCGTGTCACACCATGGAATGCCCAGAAAAGCC